ATCCTATCTATCATGATACAGATCTAACACATCATAACAGCATAGCAACATCCTACCTACTAGGATACCGATCTAAAAAATCATAACTACACTCAATCATAAGATAAACCAGGATAGAAATCCAAAAGGGTCGACATTGCTGCCTTCGACCCATAAGTACAGTGAGGAAAACTCACCTCGCACCACCGAATACACAGACGATCTCTGGCTGCTGGCTGCCAGATCCCCGAATCGCCAGCATCAAGACAGCACCCCATCAACAACTGATTCCATGAACAATCTCCGACTACAGATCCATCATCACACGCGCGCTAGCAATTACCAAAATAACAATCCATTAACATCTAGCCACTAACTCAAACTATGAGTCCAATTCAGGGTAAAAGACCTTTTTACCCTTCCTCAAGCATGGTCCAAAGCCAAGGCTCAACTAATGACAAAAGGCTCAACATCAAAATAAACTCCTTATGTCCAATTATGGCCCAATTTTCCAAATTGGGCCTGACTCATTTCATGGCCTTCACTCAAGAAGATCCAGCAATCCAAAAGCCCAAACCATAAAATCCCAGACGAACCAACACAACCCAATACCCGAAGCGCAAAGCAAAGGAGCCCAAAATAGTCGCATACGAGGGGCGTACGCCGGAGGTACGCTCAGTGTATACGAGACCTCACATTGAACAAGATACGGGGAGGCTGACCAAGTATGCGGCGCATACTCCTCCCTACGCGGGGCGTACCCTCGCAGATTCAAAAGTCCAATATGTGCTTAATGACTTAAGCACTTAAGCCAAAATTACAGATCCATGTTCCAAATGCACAATAAAGTCATAAAGTCTCCAACTTTATGTATTTAGAAGTCTAAAAGTTCTTAATACAATGTCTTAATCCATTAAGACCTTTCTACCAAATGCATGGGACACTTCTAGTAATTGGAACCTTATTTTTATGATTAAGGACCCCTCCAAGGGTCTGAAAGGACAACTCAAATCATCCAGAACATGCCATGTTCAAAATGGAGCATTTAGGACCAAAAAGAAGCATAAAAGAACCCAATAAGAGATCTAGCAAAACAATCATAAAGGTATGAACTTTATACCTTTGGATGATAGAAAAGGGAGCCTAAACTCCAAATCCAAGCCCTGCTTCACGTTCCCAAGCTTCTTGATGCAACTTCTTACTCTTCAAACACACAAGGATCACTTCTTAGCTCACAACACACACTTATGGAGGTTAGGGTTTTGCCAAAACGACCCAAGAACTTGGAGGATGGAAAGAGATGGGAGAAATGGTCCATAAGATGCTTAAATACTCCACAAACCCTATGGTTTAGGGTTTTCACCCAGACACACGTACACCCGGCGTACATATGCATACACCCAGCGTACTCACATGTATGCCCATCATACAACTCCTGCTCCATAAATTACCATTTTGCCACTAAGGCTTCCCATGGCCACTTCATTCCAATCCAAGGACAAAAAGTGACATAATTAAAACTCAAGGGATGGATTTGAAATTACTTAAAAACTGGGGGTGTTACATTAAGATATGTCATTAGGACTAATTTTCGGTCCTATTTATCGGTTTCAGTGTCAGCACATCATGGTAAATGGCCAACACGCCGTGTTCTTCATTAAAATCTCATATTCTCCAAGTCAGCGTCAAGAATCGCAAAGATTCCATTAACCACGGCCTGTTTTTTATCACCATGACGTGTTATTTAGGAATCAACAATTTCTCAAAACACGAAAGTCGTCCAAATTCTTTCTAGTTTTCAGAAACTTTTGAATCTCATCAATCGGAGTTACGAGTCATGAGATATGGTCAAAACACCGACGAGGGGTCAAGTTGTCCAACAACATCCTTTTTGCGTCTTTTTAGCTGCTTTCTCTTCCTTTTACATTCCAACTCCCCTTTTAACTGTAATTGAACAATTCAAAGCGTCTTAATTATCTTGTAGTTCTGAATAACATAAAAACATATTATAAAATAATAAGAAATCATCATAAATATATGCATAAAATTGACGTTATCAATGAGTTATTTTTTTGCCAAAGTATCCTCTTGTGAATATGGTGAACGAAAATTACAAGCCTTAGGGTCTTATTTATAGTGAGGATGACATAAGGGAAAACCTAGATTTGAATAATAAAATATTCAAATTTAATCTATTCAAATATGGTGTCTTTATCAGCTTTAGGAATATTCCAGAAACCCTAGAATACTTCATAAAACCATCCACTGCTATTAGGGCTCTAGAATTTTCATTCCTTACACAATTAAGAACAATTACAATTCAACCCTTAGACCTTTAATTATTTATAAGTAATCCCAAATTAATTAGAGATTTATTCAGATTGATAATTAATTAATTTTTATTAATTTCTTATTAATTTATTAATCATATAAATTAATAAATCAATCATTTAACTATTGATCTCATATTAATTTATTAATCACATAATAAATTAACAAATCAACTATTTATTTCCAATTAATATATTAATCATATAATATATTAACAAATCATTTATTACAATTTATTAATCATATAATAAACTAAGAAATTTATCCTCTCTCTACAAATGTCATTTTAACTAATAGCTAGTTATGAAGGCAATCCAAAAAGGACTTTACTTCTAATTACAAGAATATACCAATTTAGTTATGAGGTTTGACGCCTTAATCCAACATGGATGAGTCTCCCTGATGTATATGTTAGAGTAGGGATTTTGTGGCAGATACCCTCGACATCCAGTTCAGGATGAATAACTTACACTCATATCTGATTTGGATGAGTTTAATAGGTATAAGAGTTTAATAGGTATAAAGTTATTTATATTATATCAAATGATTCTTTTAACTTATAGTTATTAAATAAAATTGTTGACATAGGTACCTATTGAGAAGAGCAATATAGGGCTTGACATACAAACAATCGTCTTTTGTTTTTGATAAGATTGAGGAGCATGTGAATCCCAACCATCTAAGACTCGACAGTAGACTTACATATTTTGTGCATGGATTGTTTATGCATTTAAGATATGTTCACTATGTTTCATAATAATTTTTATGCAAAAAAGTATTGTAACATTATTATGTTAGTTAGTTTTTTGACATTTTAATTTTGTAAATTTGGATCATGGAGACATTTCCCAACATTATGATAACTGGTACCCCTGCACCGAGTGTGATCCTCAGAGTTGTATACCCTAGGATGATGTGTTTACCGGTTGATGATTGTGCACGTATTCTTGATGTTAGAAATGTATGTATCTTATTTCACCTTATAATCTATAACTTGCTATGAGATAATTAGATATCATTAACCTTTTATTTATTGTTTTATGCAGCCTACTTTACAAGAGTGTGCTGCTTTGTGGTGGTCTAAGAGTTGGCCATGGATAGAGACTACATATTTACTTGACATATGATTGTTGTGTTTGTGTATGTTTTAAACAATTTCCTTACAATGACGTAGCAAAAACAAGTTTATCTGACCAAACAACAATTTTTTTTATTTTTAGAATTTTCTAATTTGGTACAAACATTACTTCGAGTAAATTAGATCAACATTATCATACTCTTGACTATGTTTTTAACTAGTTTTGACATTAAATCTACTCTTAGACTTACCCTTACTTTTGATACTTGACTTTGTACTACTTGAAGATTCATATTTTTTGTTGAATCTACTATACAACACATATTAAATTCATAACAGAATAATAACATAAAAGAAGTGTTTTCACGTTCTCAGTTTATTTATTGTTCTCATTTAAACTTAACCATATATATATATATATATATATATATATATATATATATATATATATATATATATATATATCTATATATATATATATATATGTTTAGGTTCTTTGGAAAAAAAAAAAGCCCTAAAAATCATAAAAATGCATAAAAAACTACTTAGAGATCACAAATCTTTTTTTTTTTGACTTTATATTCTTAAAAATAGCAACTTTTTATATAATTTCGCTGATTTTTTTTTGAAAAAAAACCCAAAAAATATCTAATAATAAAAATAAAAAAATCGATTTTTTTCAGCGAATTTATAAAAAAAAAGCTGCAATTTTTAAGAATATAAAATAAAAAAAAAAGATTTGTGATCTCTAAGAATTTTTTTATTATTTTTAGGGTGTTTTTTTTCCATATATAATATATATATATATATATATATATATATATATATATATATATATATATATATATATAGGCTTAAGTTATTCTATTCAAAGTAATTATTGTGTTATTGTATGCATAAATGTGGGCCAATCAATTTTACTTATTTTAAGAAAGTGATTAATATATATTTTGAATTAAATATAATTGAAAAATGTCATCTAATTTAATTACCGGTATTTTAGTCAATTAATATATATTTAATAAAGGAAAATCGCATATTTTAAGGGATCATAGATTCTATTAATTTTAAAAATCCGATTTTACGAATTATAATTCTTTTAATTCGGACATTCTGACAGAATATGTTTATGAGTATATTCAAAAATAAAAATATTCTTGAACCATAAATAATAAAAATATTCTTGAACCTATTTTTTGATCATGACTTTAACAACTTCTTGTAGAATAACAAATTCTTGAACAATCAATTGAAGAATAAAAACAAAAAATACATAATTTCTTATAGAATACGGGTAACAATTGTTAAGAATTACATGAGAATGTTACACTTATTAATAACAAAAAAACACAATATATAAATCATTCTACCAGAATATACTATTACATATATTTTTTTCAATACATTGTATATTATTATGGTAGAATAATCCATTTTTTGGAAGATTAGTGGTCATTGTTCATCTTCATCCCATACAATGTTCATCTTCAAGATTCTATCATGACAGAATCAGAATTCAAGATTCCATTCCAATAGAATTGGAATTCGTGATTCTATCCCAATAGAACTGCAATCGTAGAAAATACACAAATCACAAAGGAAATATCGATATTTAATTCCCACAGAATCGGAATTCGCCACCATTTGTAGCAGTGCAAATATGATTAAGTTCTTCCAACTTGCTCTTTACTCGATTCCTCTGAAATTAAACAGCAGCAAATAATAAGATTTGAAACTAAAAGATCTAAGCATTACCAAAAAAACATACAAGGATATTGTATCCTGAAAGCAATAGTCTAAGAAAAGAATCTGACACTTTACGACAAATAAATTATTTCTCTGAGACAAATCGTCAAACACCTGGTGCTCACACACCTACACATCATATTAATAACTATATCACCATTCAAAAGATTGTAATTTACTTATCTTGAACAAATCAAGAACTTATATAGAAACACACCTGTTGCATACGACCAAGCTTGCTCCACACCTCTCTCGTGAAAGAAAATTGTAAAGGGTATATGCGTATGAAGATTTGTGGTATCAGCTGCAAAAGCAGATAAAAATTCAAAACTGAAACAAATGTCATACCACAGCTAACCAACAATACAGCAAGAGAGACAAATTTAATCCCAGTTGATAGTTTTTTCATCTCAGGGAGAACAAATCTTGTTGAAATCGTGTTGTCGACCCCACCAAAAGCTGTCAATTTAAATGCTTGATTGAAACGATAAGTAGTTGTACATTGTGTCTACAAACAACCCCAATCAATAGGTTAAAACAAACCAAAGATTTTTGTTTGAAAATAGTAGAATCGAATCATTGAGATACCAATTTGGCAATTCCTAGAGAAAAAAAAACTAAAAATTACCTGATAGAGAAGTTGTGTTGCCGTTGAAGTCGCAGAGGGGACAGATGGAGAATTGGGGTTTGATCGAGAGCGAATGGGGTTAGGGTTAAAGGGGAAAAGGGACGGTAGATCTGAAGATAAGATAGAAGGAACTAATAAGAGATGAGAAGGATGTTGAAGGCGTCTCCGGCTAGGTGGAAGAAGGGGAAGATAGCGGAGATGATGAAGCACTCACCGGAAAATGTTGAAATCGCCGCTCCTTTCCTCCTATCACTTGTCGTCCTATACTTCATATGTTTTGGAGCTTGGTTAGGCCGTTAGAGAGGATCATCCTAATTTTGAATAAGATAAAATACATTAGTTGTTGGTTGTTTTAAAAAAGGATAAAGCTAGGTCAAAGTAATTACCATAATTATAGGAGTGTATTTGTAGAAATAATTTATCAAATTACTAAATTACCCTTATTTATTTGTTTGATTATTTATTTTATTTTAAATTTTTGATTGGTCCCCAATCAACCATACAATAACACAATAATTACTTTAAA